CTAAATCACCGATGCTACAGCGATGCACGCATGCTTCCCATAAACCGCTGCTCTTGCCTCAAAACAGCAATGTGTCAAGTGTGGGGCGGCAACAACACGGGGAATTTATTTTTTCCCTGTTAAAAGCTTCCATAGATAACTGGAGCTGTCAGGCGTGCTGAGAATTTCACACAGACATTTGCTACCCTTGGCATCAGAAAACCACCTACAGCTGCTTTTGATACTTCATTTCACAGGTGACTGCATGCCAGTGCCAGTCAGACCCAGGAGACGTTCCAGAGCCTGAGGTGTATGTTTTCTCGCTTGGACTGGACAACGCTCTCCCCCCCACCATATACCCCTCAGGGTGCGACGAGGTCATCGAGACCAAATTGGCTTGTCAGCAGTTTGGGCCCAGTGCTGTGTCGCTGCGTCAGACCAACGAGACAGCAAAACAACAGCCTGCCCACAACTCCTCTCCCCGGCTAAAATCCCAGTGGTTCGCTTGGTTCAGGTCCCCCGCCGCACACACTCCTCCTCCCTGACTCGCAACAGAGGGCTGCTGCAGGCGGGACGCGGCAAAGCACCGTCGCGCCAGCTGCCTCATGCGGGGCGAGCTCTGTGTTCCCAGCAACCTCATCCCCAACAGTGACTAAGGCAAAAGGAACCTGCCCAGAATACCCACGCGCTCTCGCAGAGCGACCATGTCAGTTTACTTCAGTCCCCTGCGACTGACAAACAGCATACTGGGCTGGGAAGCATGAACATTCCCATTACACAAGGAGGAGATTACGCGAGACTCATGCGGAGCTGAACCAAAGGCTCAGGTCTGTATCACCGATCCACCCAGCTGGGATTTGCAGGGCACCACAGTAAAATCCTTCCTGGCTCCATAGCATTACACCACAGCAGCTTCTGGGGAGCCCATCCCACGAGCAACGGCAAACAGAGTTCTGCAGGGACATAAGCCGGTCTTGCTTCGCCCTGTCACTTCGCAGCCCTCAGGTGGAGGGATACCAGGCGCGTCGGGAGCTGCCAGGTATGCAGGCTGTAATTAGTGGGGACACCAGTGTTCACAGTTTTACTTCTTAGCAATTTCAACCACCTGACAAGTAGCTTCAGTTCTTAGCAGGGTCAAGTTTGGCTTCTCAAATATTTTGAAATACTGTCATTTCACAGTGCAAACACTAGTAAAAAGCTGAAAACACGGAAGTTCCGTGACAGAAGAGTGGTTTCTGGACAGGAGCAGCCTTTTTGCAAAGCAGTGATTAAAGTCATGATAGGTGTTTAAAAGCCGTGCGTGCTCGTGCGTTACCACGTTAGGTTTAGCACTTTGGAATTACAGAGACGGTAGCACACCCACAGCCAGCGTTGTGCAGCAACAACAGCACCTTTACAGATCTTCCCGCGCAAGCTCCTGCCTTCACTAGTCATTTATTTCTTCTCTCAGTTACGTTAAAACCTGTACTTCAAGTTTATCTCACTCTACAGCTTTAATCTCCCGATCGCAAGGTTTCACCTTAGCGCTCCCCGTCAGCTGTAATTCACCTTAAACGTGGAACGACAGTTCCACGCAGGAACTCTGACACTGTACTCACTGTTTAGTCTCTGACGCTGTAACTGAACAACTCCGTGTCGGAGTGGAGTGCCGAAGCGCACCCCTGCAGCACGGGGAGCCCCGCGGGTGGGCGGCGAGCACAGCCAGGGCTGCAACGGCGAGCAGGGAGCGTGTCACACACCCCTCGTCCTCCTCGGTGCTTTCCTGCCTGGCAGAGGGTCGCAGTCACAAAACCCTCATGCCCAACTGCGAGTGCCAACGCGGCCTTCAAAGCAGCAGTCGGCTGTTTCACCCAGGTGCCCGTCTCACGCCGTTTGTCAATAAGCTGCCAAGGCCAGCATCTGCCTTGGGGTACCTCGTTTCCATTGGCCACAACCGTTCTCCAGTGAAAACATGTAAAACACTTTAAATCAGGGCTACTGTGCTGAGAAGAAGATTTGTGGAAACACACCTAGACAGCGCCAGAAGACATAACCACGGCAAAATAAATATATTTTAAACTGCTCATTTTTAGAAAGGTTAACATTCCAGCTGTCAGAACAGGCACGCTTATTGGAAATGGTTATTTCTCTTTTGAGAAAGTATTCTTAGAAAACACTAATATGGACACAAAAGTGTAGAAGGGAACAGGTTTCGCTTTTATTGATGCTTCTTCCTTGCAAAACAACTTCCTGCCACGGCTGCTTTGATTTTCTTTTAGAAAGAGTGAAGACTTGTTTTCTTTCTGCATTGGCGAAACAATGGGAAAAATACATCTTCCATATAAATCTCATTTAAATTCTGCGTTCTAACTAGCAAACACAATTTGGAATTGAGGGGGTTTTTGTTTTTACATTACAAAATCAGCCGTTGCAACATTAAACAGCTCATCTATAGCAATCCAGCAGGAGAAATCATTGAACAATCAGCTGCAGAACACAAACACAGAAAGACAATATATTAGCTCTGCAGATACACAAGATACTCCTGGGCTCCCGCCAGAAAGACAAGCCCCAGCCGTACGTTATATGGAACTGGTCGTCATGGGGGAATCAGCAAAGCTCTTCCTAAACGAGAGAGATACTATCAATCTCCCAGAGAGACGCTGTCAATCTCCAAGTCAGATTTTTGTACCAAAAACCCTCAAATGACGAAAACTTGCTATCGCTAGTGAGAGAAAATGGAATTATTGATGCACAAATGGTAGCAAGATCATGCTGGCCAGCTGCTTTAACAAATGCAATTGGATTTTATGTTCGGCAGCCTAAGTGAGAAGAGAAACCAAAGCAAATGGACATGAAAATTACGTGCAGTTATCCAGATTCTACACCAAAACCCGCAAGAGGAAGCAGGATCCAGGGAGTGAAGAGCAGAAATGCCCCAAGGCAGAAGAGGCAGCAGCGGCAGGAAGGCTGACAGCTCGGTGGCTGAGCTTTGGGGCTGAATGCCCATTTATTGCTTTCCTCTCTCCCTGAGGATGGTGGCTGTGTCAGCCCGGTAAGATGCTGCTACCTCAGTTTCCCTTGATGAAAAAGTGCCACATTGGCTCAAACCTCCCGTTTCTGACACACCGACAGCCTGCTCAGCCTGGCAACAGCGGGCCTGTTTCTGCTCTC